ATATATCTCAATACTTATGGTATGCTTTTAGGTTGAGGTACATAAAATCTCCACATTGTAGGACATTTTAAATCACTAATTAGGATGAAAATAAGACTAAGCAAAACAAAATTGTAGAAAAGAAACATAGCTTATTAATTTGGATTGTAACAAAAAATAGTATTTTATCCCTGAACAATGCAAAGCCTGGATAAATCCAAATAGTTTGGAACCCAATTTTATGTATTAGTTTCAGAACATAGGTTTTACGATGCCAGGAACCACCCTAGAGCTCCCCAGTAAGACCCAACACTCCCAGGTAGTATATCATATACTGACTCACTACTTATAGAACTGTAGGCTAAGAATTTTCCCATATGCAAAGGACAACTCTAATCCATGCTTTTATAACTTACAGCAAATAAGGCACACCAATATAATGCTAGTGAGTGGAAACTGGATTTGTTAACATATAGGAAAATTATAGCAGGGTGTGGTGGTATATACCAGTAATCCTAGCACTTGGGAGGCTAAGAGGATCACTTGAGTTCAGGCCAGTGTGAGCTACATAGTGAAACCCCATCTCAAAAGAGGAAAATTGAAAACACATAATCCTTTGATCTGAATGATCCACTTTTAGTAATCTGTCCTGAAGATAAACTTTAAAATTTATGAAACTTTACAAAGAGATTTATTATAGTACCATTTAAAAGAGCAAATTTTTAAATCAACCTGAATCATTTGGGGGCTGGTTAAATAAACTGTGGTATCTCCATCAATGAAATGGCAAGCAGCCCTAAAAAGAAGAGAGAGGAGGAGGGGGGTGCTTTTCATTCTTTTTTTTTTTTCACTTTTTTTTTTTCTCATTGAGTTTATTGGTACATTCCAGGTATACAGTACAATTACATTCATCACTGGGATCTTGTACCTTTACATGACAGGTCTTGGTTCTCATTTTTGAGAGCTCTTCATTCTAAGTAGGGGAATTAAAAAGAATACCCCCAAAATATAATAAATGCAAAAGCAAAAAGTGCAATGTGTGTAGGATTTTGTAGTATGTATAAAAAAGGGTGGGGTGAAATATGAATATGAATATATATGTACACAAAATGTGAGAATAATATAGTATCTCTAAACGGAATAAATAAATAAATGGACATACTCCAAATGCTACAAGGCTAGGGAGTGAGATTAGGTGGGTGCACAACACAAGACGGAAATGTGACTACATTTTAAAAATTTTGTAAATGTAGTATTTGGTTAAAATATTAAACTAATGGCTTATATAAAAAACAGACAGTGTTTTAGGGTTTATACATTGAGACATACCAAAATCTCAAAAGATTTACTGTAATTAAAAGCTGTAGCAGCTGGGCGTGGTGGCATACCCCTATAATCCCAGCACTCAGGAGGCTGAGGTAGGAGGATTACTGTGAGTAGCCTGGGCTACACAGTGAGTTCAGGGTCAGCCTGAACTACAAAGGGAGACCCTGCCTCAAAAATAAATACATACATAAATAAATAAATAAATAAATAAATGGTACAGCTGAGCAGTGGTACATGCCTATAATCCCATCACTCAGGAGGCTGAGGGAGGATTACTGTGTTGAGATCAGCCTAGCTACTAGTGAGTTCAAGGTCAGTCTGAACAACAAGTGAGACCCTGTCTCAAAAACAACCAAAAAATAGCCAGGTGTGGTGGTGCAAGCCTGTAATCCCAGCACTCGGGAGGCTGAGGCAGGAGGATTCACCAGCCTGGGCTACACAATGAATTCCAGGTCAGTCTCAACTACATAGTGAGACCCTGTCTCAAAAAAATAAAAATAAATAAATAAATAAAAATAAAAGCCACATATTAGTGCAACAGCTTTCGGTATTCTTCCTATAAAAAGCCACAGGTTCATCCCTAAATTTATTATGTAGTCAAAGAATATACAGCCAGAACAGTCTTTGAAAAATCTTTAACCTCTTGGGCTGGGGATTTAGCTCAGGGGCACCATGCCTGTCTGGTAAGCACAAGGTCCCAAGTTCAAACCCCAGTACCAAAAAAAATCTTTAAACTCTCAATTCACAGATAAGAAAACTATGACCCAAGGTAGCTAAATAAATTTACCCAAAGGACACATTTAGTAGGTGGCAAAGTTAACCCAGAAGCTGGGCATGGTGGTGCACACCTGTAATCCCAGCACTTGCGAGGCTGAGGCAGGAGGATGCTGTGAGTTTGAGACTAGCTTGGACTACACAGTGAGTTCCAGATCAACTACAAAGTGAGACCCTGTCACCAAAAAAAAAAAAAAAAAGTAAACCCAGAAACCTGACTCAAATTCCAATCTATTCACATATATTTCTCTTTCCCTCAAACAGTGTCCCAATTAACACAAGGGGCCAGCAAGTGTCAGCTGCAATCCTGCTTGCATTTTGGGAATGGCAGGGCTAGTGGTGAGCTGATATCTTATCTTTATAAGACACTCTCAAAGCTCACAAAGGAACCAAAAGTGATATGTATATTTATATATGGTCTTGCTTCTCAACTGGGTTATGTTTTAGCAAAGTACTAAGAGGAGTAAAAGCCATCAGACAAACAGGATGGGGCATAGGGCTTCCTACAGCATCAATATGTTATACCTTCTTTATTTATTTATTTATTTATTTATTTATTTATTTATTTATTTTTCCCCCCTTCAAGACCCCTCATTTTTTCTTCTATTTTCACTGTTTTCTTGTCCCTTTCTCCCTCCCTCCTCCTTTGTTCCTCTTCCCATTTGAACACTTTCTTCCCATTTCCCAACAACTATTATACATCTCAGTCCATATTTCCACATTCAGCTTCTCAAACAGAGAAATAATGTGGTATTTAAACATGTGTGTCCAATTTAACATCAATACATTTTTAAAATTTGAAAAAAAGTTAATTTGATAACTAAATAATTTAAATTATTTTTTATATTAAAACAAAAAGTAATATATCGTAGGACAAAATATAGACTACACATAACGTAAGTTTCAGGCTGAGTCTGACCAAGTCTGGTGGGGGACCTGGAAGAATAGTACACACATTCTTTCTCCAACTCCTAAGAGGCAGGAAAGTCTGCGAACTACTACAGCAGGGGAATTAAGGTAAAGGCCTTTTTGAGTTAGAGACAGACAAATCTGGATATGGAGCCTAGTCTTGGCGCTGCGTGATCATAGATCGTTAATCTGGGCTCAGAGCCTCAGTTTCTTCATCTGTAAAATGTGGTATTACTTCACCTGTAGTTTTGTTACAAGAACTGGAGATGATTATATTAAACTTGCTGAACATTATAAAGACTGTAATGAGCTACAGCCATCACAAACAAACCTAGCAGATGCTATCTGACTATCTAACCTCTCATTTGGTTTCAATTTGTGAGAAGACAAGGCAGGCAATAGATAGTCACCAGCCCTCCACAGAAAGAAAACGAAAGGGGACAAAATTACCTAGGAGAACACTGTTCATTATACTCACATATTTCATTTCAAACTTCTTAGCCAACATTTCCACTTCTTGCCTCTCCTGATGCTCATCATTAAATGGGTCTTCTGTACGAAAGAGCCTTTTCTGATTCAAAGTGAATGGGGAAAGAAACAAAAGTATTAGTATTGCTTCACCTGTTATTACTGCTCTCTGCTAAAGTCTTCAATTTGCACTGCAATAACTGAATGTATAATGACATAGTATTATATCAAACTTGTAATCAATAATACAGTAACTTATATAATTACTTCAATTATATTGATATTCAGAGTTGAAATACCCTTAAATTTAATCGATAATGAGAGTCTGTTTTTCCTACCAGACATGGTGGCACATGCATGTAATCCCAGCACTTGGGAGGTTGAAGTAGGATCACTGTGAGTTCAAGGCCAGCCTGGGCTACACAGTGAGCTCAGGGCCAGCCTGAACTACACAGCAAGACTCTGTCTCAAAAAACAAACAAAACAAAACAAAAATTCCCCTATATTAACAAGCCACAATAATTAAAAGTAATTAAAAGCTATGCTGGTTCACAACAAGAAAATATCTGTAGTTTTAACAGCCTTATACATGATCCACAGCTGTTTTCCAGCCAAGAACTTAAAAACCCAAATTAAGCTGATCTGCAAAAGGATCACATGATCACCTTATTTAAAATAACAAAGAAAAAAATACCATGAATATTAGGTTAAAAACAAACATGCACATGAGTTTAGTTTGACATCTTCCCTTACCAAGATTAACTGCTCTAGCTAGGAAAAGGATCTTCAGATTATTAGAGACAACGTTTAATCATCTCCCAATAAATTATCACTGAGTATCTTCAGCTGCCCTGATTCTGCTGAGCCCAGAATCAACTTCTCTATCACCAGACTCCTGCCAACGGAGATCCTTTAGGGAGTACAGTATATATTACTTTTAATTAAACAAAGGTTACAGACTGAAGAACTGCAAAAAAGATTACATTACCATGCCTTTTTTCTAGCAAAGAGTGAAAGTTTCTTGTAAAATACGTATTTTAAAACACACACACACACACACACACACACACACACACACACACAGAATGAGCTACGATCCTACTTTTCTAATCTGCTTGCCAAAATAGAAAAATCACATCAAATTTATTTTACAGACACATTTCAAAAGACATAGCAAAAAATAAGGAGCTCCCTTTTTGGGGAGGAGATAAGGTCTTGCTATGTGGTTTAGGCTGTCCTTGAATTTTAAGCAATCCTTCTGTCCCAGTCTCCAAGTGCTGGGATTACAGGTGTGTGCCACCACGCCCGGGTTGGAGCCACTTTAAAGAAAACTATTTTATCCAATTTCAAACAACTCACTTGAAAGGAAAAAAAAAATTTAAAAGAAGGGTAGCATCTTCATATAATTAAAAATGGAAGTATCTTACAGTTGAAATACTGGATAATTTGGCTGACTCTGAAGAGCAAGAAAAACATGCTGAAGAGGCAAAGATGAGACAGTTCATCCTAGATTTAGGATGAGATATGATCAGTGTAAAACATATGCCAGGAAAATATGGTTAGAATGAATATAAAACATTAGAACAAAGGGGTATTTCTGTAGGCTTAAAGGAGTTAATTTTAGAATCACTTTTTTAAATTACAGTAAATAATAAACAAACTTACAGAATTCCTTATCTCAAATGGAATTATCAATAGAAAACATTAATATGATCCAACAAGAAAGAACTAGCTGGAATAGATTGGTAACAACCTAAGGAATACGGGGCATGTTCAGGGTGCTGCCCAGGATAAAGCTGAGGCTAAATGTTAAGAACAGAAAGCGATCAGCATGTTCTGTTCTTATTAACTTCTTTCCTCTGCCACAATAAAGTCTGACTACAAGTCTGACCCACTTTACCTACACAATATAAACACATGGATCTGTACTTTTACTGAAAATCAGCTTTAATGCCATTCTAAAATATTTCAGATGCTTTATACAGACATTAAAAGTTCATCTCTTATTTACTTTTAATGGTCATAATAAATTTAAAACTCACTTTTCTCTTAGGTAAGAACAACTTCCCCCTCTTCAAAACCAAATAGGTGGGCTGGGGATTTAGCTCAGTGGTTCGGCTGCCTACCTAGCAAGCACAAGGTCCAATCCCCAGAGCGGGGGCGGGTGGGGGGCAGACGGACCAACAACAACAAAAAAAAAACAAATAGGCCTGTTTTTTTTCAAGAGAAAAAAATAATCTGAAAATTACTTAACTATCCATATGCAAAACTGATGCAATAATTTTGTCCTCTGATCTCAACACATTAATACCAATTTTAGATTGTTCCTGTGTCTTATCCAAAACATGTGCTATGGAAGCCAGATGTGTTGGCGCACACCTGTCATCGAATGTTTCAGCACAGTGTGGCCATCTTGGTAACTTAGAGAGACCTTGTCCCAAAATAAAACAAAATAAAAAAGAGCTGTGGCTGTAGCTCAGTGCAAAGGCCCTGGGTTCATTCCCCAGCACCACCAAAAAAGAAAAAATATGATAAGCAAGGGAAGACCACAGGATCCTGAAATAGGATAGTTATATTAACACTTCAGTCACTTATTTCTCTAAGAATTTCCAGTAAATTTTCAATTAACCATGCTCCATGCTCAAAAATAGGTATTCTGATAAACTATTTTCTGGTTTATAAATAACTAGCAAAACTTATTTCTGAAATGCACTGACACCTTCCAAGAAACACTGAGCACAAGAACCTTTAGGGCTGGATGATTCCAGTGGCCAAGTCCCCACCCTAAGGCCCCTCCACTACAGCACAATGCTGGAGAGCACAAGGTCAGGGCCTAGCTCACCTATGTCCTGATAGTTCAGAAGGTGCTGTACTCTTCGTATTGTCAAAATGTGCTTATTTCATTATACTTTTCCTCATTAATAAAAGCAAGACAGAAAAATTCTAATTGCATTTCAGTTAATTTCGGTTTTACTGTTCATTTAGCTATTATGAAGGGGGCTGATTTAATACAACCTAATACAGATGGCATCCACACATAACACATTTTTACAGCCCTGCACCCTTCAACATTGGGATACTGAAACTACAATCTTGTTCATTGATAAGATGCTACTTCAAAATTTAAAGTTATTTTTTCCTTTTTCTATTCAGCCTGCTTCGAGATACATTGTTCAAATGCAATAATTCAAAATTAAAACTATTTTGAAAATATTATATCTATAAAAATAAATTGACTCTTCCCAGAGGGAGCAGAGGATAAATCCACTGAGGAATCACCACCTTCCAGAGTAATTCTAATGTTCACATTTTGCTTTCTGATATCTCTTCCAGAATTTCCTCTCATGGAACTAAGAAAGTTTTATTTAAACAGGTGTTTTACATACTTTCTTATGTAATAAATGTATTAACTGGCAGTAATCGTAAGAAAGCAAATCTTTATTGCAAAGGTATTGTATAAACAATGAAACAAAACTTTTTGTAGAACATGACAAAAGATATATGGTAGTACATGTTTATAATCCAAGCACTTGGGAGGCTGAATCAGGAGAATTTCAAGGCCAGCTTGGCCTATATAGTGAGACCTTATTTTCCATTTTTAAAAAAAGATATATGGCTGAATAAAGAATGAAAAACACTGGACCAATAAATCCCTAAATTGACAGTATGTATAAAAACAAAAATTAATGCTGGGCATGGTGGTGCACGCCTGTAATCCCAGCACTGAGACAAGAGGATCACTGTGAGTTCAAGACCAGCCTGGGCTACATAATGAGTTCCAGGTCAGTCTCAACTACATAGTGAGACACTGTCTCAAAAAACAACAAACAAGCAAACAAAAACACCACACAAAAATTAAACAATTTTTCTGCTAGAACATATGCTCCACACAATGTTTTGGTCAACAGGCCACATATACAACAGCATCTACCACAGCCTGTGTAGTGGGCTCTACAATGTAAATCAGTGTAGGTAACATACTCACCTAACACATTTCTCACAAAGCTTTCTGGCATTAAGCATCACATGAATCAGTAGTTCTGATATCAAGTTAACAAAGCTATGGCATCCAAATAAACTTTCATCCTAAATGTTTCCTCATAATTAAGAGAATATTATTAATTTATCATGCCATGAATATTATAGCATAATGGTTATAATATGGTTTTTGTATTTCCACTGCCTCTAATTTCATTTTGGCAGGATCCTCTACATTTAAACTGTACCAGTTAATTGTAAAACATTTTGCTTTACTAAGCACTGTTACTACAATGGAAAGCAGTACTAATAAAATTAAGTATGAGCACTTTGCGTGCTAGCCTCATTTGTAAAACGGGAATAACAGTTTTTATCTTACAAGTTCTTCTGGACTAAATAAACAATGTACAATGCTTAGAACTGTATCTAATACACAGTAAGAACTCAGTAAACACTAGCTAGTATTCTTTACTTTTACTCAAAGATAATGCTTGAAAATTACAAGTATTGCACATTTACTTAGATTAGAAAATCAAACACAGCTTATTTGAAAAATGCTCCAATCCAGTATTTTCAATATTGTTTTGGGGGGAAAAAAATCACACAGCATTTATAAAGAAGGCACTAAAGTGAGTCTACAGAACAAAATGTTACACAACAATGACCAAAATAGTCTCTATTCTACCCTTACCGATTCATTTTGGTTGAAATCATTCTGTAATGAATTGGTCACACACAATATTTGTAACTAATGATGAAAAAAAATTAGCTGGCTACAAAATAAACGAAATACTGCGATACTGTTTAACATGACACTTTTTTACCGAAGAGTTACTCATTTCAACTACAAACTAGTTGAGAATGAAAACAAGCCACTTCTAGAGTCTCCTGGATCTGTGCTAAAGCAAAGCCCAGTAAGAGGCATAATGGATAAAGAGAACAATGTTCCCTTATTTTCCATTCTACCATCTCTCTAACTCATTCCCAAATATCATCAACCCACAACAAAAATTACAATTACAAAAGAAAAAAGGACAAAACTCCTGCCCTAATTCCCATTGTTCACGAGTGACATACCTATATATTTTCAATAAAGTTTTAAAAATTCAAAGTCAAGGTTTTTCATCATTCTCCAAAAATTACAATAGCGAAGTACAATCTCCTCCAACTCAGACTTATAAAACTAACGATCTACACTCAAGCATATGATGGGTAGGCGCCGAATAAAACAGGAGAGACACCTTCCCATTCAATGACAATATGAAGAAACTCCACACACAAAAACGCTGAAAAAGGTTTACCAATACCACCAACACGAGAGCGAAAAATACTCAGATAACAAATCCACTTCTGTTTCTAAACTGGAACCCTTAATCTCTGCAAATGTTTAATTACTCTTAAAGTCTCTTCAATTAAGGAAAAAAATCTGGCACGCAAGCCCATCCCTGCAGCCCAGGCACCCTGCACAACAGTGACGAGGAGGAGGAGGAACCGGAGGGGTGCCGCGATCTCGCTCCAGTCCGGGGGGCGTGTTCCCCAAGGTTTTCGTTTCCTTTTTACTGCAACGACAGCTGCAGCGCCACAAGGAGCACTAAGCCACACGGTCCCGGGGCCCCAAGACATTGTGTGGGGACAGAAAGGAAAGGAGGATCTGAGGTTTCCAAAGGTGCAGAGGGAAAGGATCGGCGCGGGGCCGGACAGGGATCGACCACCCGGGTGCGCTGAGCCGCGCTGCGCTCTAGCCTGACACCCCCACACAACCCCACCCCACCCGCCCGCGGGGTGACCG